TCACTGTCAGGACTCAATATTTGTGTTATTTAATATGTTAACTCAAAGACTATTATTGAAATATGGTAGGTTCTGATCACTTGATCCATTTCATATAAGATTTGTTTATTGTTATAAAACAAAAAACAAGTGATTGGAAAGTACAGTTAAACTATCATTTTAGCGTATTTACTGTGGCAGACATTTAACATACCAAAACATAAATATCACGGGATTTATATAAATATTTAATTGTAGTAGTTATTAAAATAATTTTAATTTAAATTAGTAAATCTAAGAAATGAAAAGATAAAAAATAATTTATTTTCTCCACTTTAAACATGAAAACTGTATAGTATTTAAGTTCCATAAAAGTTGAATATCATGTATTTTCGCCTTGCTTTGTCCTTTGCACTGCCCCCTGCTTCCTCCCTTCATTATTCTCACCTTCCGATGGAGAAATAGGTGACCTTTCCCGGCAAGAACTTTGATCTCGATTTTATATAGGAATAGGTAGAAAACTATGAAGGAATTAGAAGATTATATAGCAATAGGCAGACGTGCCAACTTTTAATCCCTTTCATTATCATTTTTCCCAGTGGTATTAAAATGGAATTAAAACTTCAATTTTAAGCAAAAAAATACGTTGCATTTGAAAAAAATTAAGTTGACAACCATGATAGTAACGCATATTAATATATAAGCTTAATTTTTGTAAGAATAGTGGTGATCAAAATCATTTAAAAATTAAATTTATAAAAGAAAAAATAGTATATATTTACTACCACTTTAAATATGAAAATAAAATCTCCCACAAAATGCGGGCATATAGTGGTAGTTAAATATAATCGTAATTTAAAACGTTCCTAATTTCTGTGAACGATTTGAAACTACATTTTTATACACATAACTGAATATATAATATGGATGCATTAAAATATAGACAAACAGATATTGCGTTTCATTATTATTTTTTTTTTAGAAAATAATAAAAATCTGGTTTATTTGGTTTAAATCAGATTTTTGTTTTTATTTAAATCGGATTGTGTATAATTTTTAAATATGGAATTTTATGTATATCTAGCTATTTTTTTAAAATATAAATAAAATCGAAATATTATTTAAAATAAATCGTAACAATACATTAGAAACTATATTGCTGCATGAAAAGAAATATTGCCTTTTATCTTAGCTTAATAATTGGCAAACATTTCTATATCAAATAACTTAAGTTGACCCAGTTGTTTAAGAAATGTCCCTCTACAAGAAAAAGCGATCTGAATTTTTTTTCACGTTTTGATACCATATTAAGATAACTTACTCTTAATTGTTATTTGCACTATAATATTCAGAAAAAGATGCGCAATGTCAAAATTGAAAGTGGTTTCGAAGATAATGTTGTACTTTCATTAGTATCATGTTTCTCTCTCTCCCTCCCTCTCTCTTTTATTTCGAAAAAAAAAATCATTTACAATAATTACTTTCTGTTTGTGTGTAAGAAGAAAAAAAACTTTTACTTTGTTCTGAGTTTGCATTGTTTAAAAATGCAAATGAATTATAAAATTTTTAAAATTCTATTTCAAAGGCTCTATGATTTATTACACATAACTTACAATTGCCATTTTGCCAATTGGGTACTTACACTTCAAGAAGAAGACCTCCCATACCCACACACGTGACCTATGACGTTAGCGCCAGCTCATCTTTATCAACATAATGGCGTATTAAAGATGAGCTAAGTTTCTCAACATAAGTTAGAATATTAATTAACTATAAGTTAAATACAGAGCCGTGTCCCACATCGAATGAGTTGAAATATAATTCTTTCCCGTCTACTTAACTTAGATTTATTATTTGTTGACGTATTTTATTTCAACCGTGATATATTTTTGTTTTGTGTACCTGGCAACTACGATGCAGAATTAGTTTGCTCGTGTTCCATATTGCTTCGTGCCTGCCTTCGAATAAAGTCTGTGTGTAAATATATATTGAAAGAATTGAAATTTTTGAGAAAGAATTTTAGTGAAAGAATTTAGAACGTGTCACTTAATAGAATCGATGCATGACAAGTTTGGCTTACTCGAAATGGAATGGAAAGAACAGTTGCTTACGTAAACAAATGCCACTTTTCAACAACCAATCAGGGTCGAGATACCCACACTACATCACTTGCAGACTTAAAACTTATTAACACAGAAATAGCATTCGATAAATTTTATAGCCACGAAAATCAATAAAAAATTCAAATAATGTCATATTAAATATCTTTATACATTTTGAAATCAATGTGTTCTTTTAAAAAAATTTTTAAAAAAAACCAATCGATTTAAATTTAACGAACCAATATTATTTATACTATGCATAATTATATATTTCTATATTTTTAATCCATTTTATATTCACTTTACATGGTTCCATTATGTTAATTTTTATGGTTTTAGTTATAATTATTTGCTGCGGCGACTGCTCGTGGATATCGGGAGGATATTATTTTTATTTAATTTTTATTTGCATTAAAAAAATCATTTTGAAGTTTCTTGAACATGGAAGAAGTTCTCTCTTATCATTGGTTTATAGCATAGGGAGGGGAATGAAATATTTCTATTATTTATCACTCAAAATTTCTCGGTAAATTTTGTCATATTTATATCTTAATTTTCTTGGTTTCTTAAATGATTTGTCAATAATTTTAATTATGTGAAAGTGATATTACTTTTCTTTATTGTATATACTAATTTTATACATCGTTTAATAGTTTCATTATTTTTTTTTATTCTCTGTTATACACAAATTATCCACGTCTAGAAACTACAGTTTTCTATAATTAGAAGGAGGAAAAAAGAATCCTACAAAAAAAAGTTTGGGCGTGTAAACATTCTTTTCGCACCATTTTTGCTAAAAATTAAATTATTTATGACCACAAATGTTTATTAATCAACTAACTGACTAATTTTTCTCAATAATAGTTAAACATGGTTCATCGAAGCTCTGTCGCCAAGAAAAATAAAAAAGCCACAATTTACGTCCCTTACACTTGGAGCAATGCGATGATTTAAAACTATATATATATAATCTTTATCTGGGATTTAGAGCGAACGGATAACTTAAATATTTTAAAAATTATTAAGCATTTTTTTTATATATCGCCCATTTGTGCGTCATTTTTCCATCAAAATGAAAACTATCAAAATCACTGCCTTATTTTCAGTTTTTGAAAATTTTTATGAGTCCGGATAATGCAGCATTGGAGTAAGTTTTTAAATATTAAAAAATTAGAGCGCAGGGGCTTTTTATTTACACAAAAACTGTGGCCTTTCGTCAAATTGACATTTTGCACCATTTTTTAGAATATTCATTGACAGCGACTTTTGATAGGCTAAACTTGTCTCTTAGCAGTCATTAAGGCTCCTATACTACCAGAGTTGACCTATCAAGCAATATTGGAGCAAACAAGTTCTCAAGTTAACGTTATTTTAGTATTCGTTATGTTATTACAGAGATGCCAACTGCTGCGGACACGCCAAAATAATTTAAAAAACGGTAAATAACTACAAAGTAAATTTTTAAAATAGTTGACAATATTTGCTTGCTCTTAAGAATGTAAAGCATGTGATAAGTACTTTAAAGTGGTGAATTATATAAGCCTACGCATTGTTTCGAAATAGTGGTGGATTAAAATCTACTAAATTGAACTTATGAAACCAAGAATTACAATTAATAAACTACCACTTGAAAATATTTATTCGCTGTGCTTATGATAGCTCTTTGCTCCAACAATAAATGATAAGTCGGCCTGTCTAATTCAGGGGCTCTAGCAGTCATGAGTAACTATTGAAAAGTCACAGCAGTTATAAAAATAACATATTGTTCGCAAAAAAGTATGATTTTATGTGACGATGGAGCCTTTGATAAACAGCCTTAAATGCCATTGAAACGATTGATTTTTTTTCCAGTTTTCTCACGATTTGTAATATATCATGCCACCTATTGACAGAACGAAAAAGCCACAACTGCTCTGCCTTTCTTACAGCCGATAATGTAAGAACCAGGGTTGGAGTTTTTGCCAGGCCAGTGGCAAAAACCGGCAAAAACTGGCAAAAATCAAATTTTCTAAATTGCTGATTAAATATTATTACAAAATACATGAAACAAATTTAAATCAATCATAAGGAATAATAATTTTGTTACATTACATGAAAAATTATTTTAAAAATATTAATAATTAGTATGAGGTTAATAATTGTTAAAAGATTGAAAGTTTTTGACCTCTTTTAGGATCCTTAAATAAATGTTTTTTACAAATTTTATTTTTTCTTACTTCTTCATAACAACTTTTGGTATGTATTATTTTACGTTATATCACTCTTACACTATATTTAAAGATAGACATAAGAAAGCTAAAATGGATGTTTTATTAGATAGATTTTGATAAATACCTCATTTCTCTATATTACTTCAAAATGCAAACAAAACCACACAGTTGAGACAGCACAAATTGTATTATGATGATGAATAAAGAATTGAATTTCCCCAAATTTAAAAAAATTGCATTGATACTTGTATACTTTAATTAGCTACACATGTTGACAGATATTTTATTCTTTAAATTATAGTTATATTAAATTAAAATAAGCTCATTTCACTGGAAAAAGAGAATAATCACTAATTTTCCGATCATACTAAAATGATATATTAATACATTATGTTATGATTTAATTATGGAATAATAATTTTGTTAATTTCTGTTAATTAGATATATTTATAGTATATATTTATATTTTAGGAATAATTTTATATCAAAAATGTGTTTTTGTCCTCTCATGTTGGAAAATATAGGTTTTTTCCACTTTTTGCCACTTTGCTTGGCAAAAACCTGTTTTTGCCAGGACAGTTTTTACCGGTATTTACCATGGTTTTTTCCACCTGCCGCAAAATCTTGCCAACCCTGGTAAGAACGGACTTGAAAGCTGCCACCGGCGGCGTAAGCCAAGGGGTTAAGACAATACCTCCTAAAGGACAGAAGACCTCAATGCGGGTTACCACAAACAAGAAACCTGATCCTGTAGTAGTCCCAATGTAATGACATCTTTCGTATTTCTTCCACTGCGCAGTTTATGTTCTCTTTGTCAGACTACTGAATTGATCCGTGCTGAGGCTTTCTCTCTTCTAGGAAGTGTCGCCTATACCCTGGCCACCTTAGATTGTTTTTGTGCGTTATCGCGATAATTTTTGCTCCTAACAAAGTGTTGATGTTATAATACTATTTCATAGTAGCATATATGCGACTACTATTTGATGATATAGTATCCTCCCTATAAAACGGGGTGTGACGTATGGATGTTGTCTCCGAATCATCCTCAAGGATGTTTTTGCAGACTGTCGCCAGCTCTGCAGCTGTAGTGTGACGTGAATAAAAGTTTCAAGATAAATAAATGCTAGTCTACACTCGTTGTATCTTTGCAGGTGATAAAATNTTTTGCTAAAAATTAAATTATTTATGACCACAAATGTTTATTAATCAACTAACTGACTAATTTTTCTCAATAATAGTTAAACATGGTTCTTCGAAGCTCTGTCGCCAAGAAAAATAAAAAAGCCACAATTTACGTGCCTTACACTTGAAACAATGCGATGATTTAAAACTAAATATAATCTTTGCCGTAAAGAATTATCTGGGATTTAGAAGGAACGGATAGCTTAAATATTTAAAAAATTATTAAGCATTTTTTTTATATATCGCCCATTTGTGCGACATTTTTCCATCAAAATGAAAACTATCAAAATCACTGCCTTATTTTTAATTTTTGAAAATTTTTATGAGTCCAGATAATGCAGTATTGGAGTAAGTTTTTAAATATTAAAAAATTAGAGCACAGAAGCTTTTTATTTACACAAAAACTGTGGCCTTTCTCCAAATTGACATTTTGCACCATTTTTTAGAATATTCATGGACAGCGCTGGCTTTTGATAGGCTAAACTTGTCTCTTAGCAGTCATGAGTAACTATTGAAAAGTCACAGCAGTTATAAAAATAACATATTGTTCGCAAAAAAGTATGATTTTATGTGACGATGGAGCCTTTGATAAACAGCCTTAAATGCCATTGAAACGATTGATTTTTTTCTTCAGTTTTCTCACGATTTGTAATATATCATGCCCCCTATTGACAGAACGAAAAAGTCACAACTGCTCAGCCATTCTTACAGCCGACAATGAAAGAACGGACTTGAAAGCTGCCACCGGCTGCGTAAGCCAAGGGGTTAAGACAATACCTCCTAACAGACAGAAGGCCTCAGCGCGGGTTACCACAAACAAGAAAACTGATCCTTTAGTAGTCCAAACGTAATGACATCTTGCGTATTACCTCCACTGCGCAGTTTATGTTCTCTTCGTCGGACTACTGAATTGATCCGTGCTGAGGCCTTCTCTCTTCTAGGAAGTGTCGCCTATACCCTGGCCATCTTAGAATGTTTTTGAGTGTTATCGTGATAATTGTTTGCTCCCAACAAAGTTTGGATATTCTACATAGTAGCATATATATATGCGACTACTATTTGATTATATAGTATCCTCCCTATAAAACGGGATGTGGCATATGGATGTTGTCTCCGAATCATCCTCAAGGATGTTTTGCAGACCGTCACCAAAACCCCAATGTGCAACTCTAGTGTGACGTGAATAAAAGTACCAAGATAAATAAATGCTAGTCGCCCAACATTTTCTCTACACTCGTTGTATCTTTGCAGGTGATAAAATGAGTCATCTTTCGTTGCTCTCATGGAATGTGTTCCACGATCCACAGTTTTGGCAACACTTCGAAAAGGAGGTGAAGGAAAAGACATGGAGTTGCGAATTCAACAATGACATCCTACAATCGAGCCTGGAGAATGATGCCGCCCTTTATGACGATCCTACAACCTTCAAGAAGCGCAGGAGTGGCGTTCAACAGTGGACAATGAACACCGCCCTCTGGGTAGCCACTGTTCTGGGTGCCTGCAAGGAGCTCAGCAACGGAGAGAATGGTGAATATGTGCGACAACTTGACGAGTTAAAGATTTTGGAAGCGTTTTCTGACTATTTGGATCATTTGAATTTCTTCCAAATGGTAGCTGATAAGATGGCTTCACTAGGACAGAGGGTTCGTATAATTTCCCCTATAATTTGCTATATGTATAAAGCAAATTCTATGTTTTGTGTGCAAAGGGCAATGAATAAAAACTTTATATAACCTACCTATATAAAACATGTCACCTATATAAGACATGTCACATAAATATGACCTACCACTCTAAATGTTAAAATTTTTGCACCTCAGTGTCTAGTGACCACTCAATTTAATGATCTCTAGGTATTTTTCAATAAGTTTGTAAACAGGGTTCTCACGTACCTGGAAAATTTTTATATACCGTAAACCGGGGCGAGTCTACCCATTTTTTCAGTTTGTCAACTTTCAAGTGGTCAAACTTTTGTAAATATTAAAGAAAAAAGGCTTTTGAAAGGTGTTTCGGAATCGCTATTTATCCCTCTTTAAAGCTGTGAAATCGATTTTAGAAAATATTAACAGTTATGCTGTTACTGTATATTTTTATAGAACTGCTGACAAATCTCTCGTATGGGGCGAGTCTACCCATTCTACTAAAATGAATGTTAACATTGTAAATAATCAAATTTTACTATTAAATTGTTATTTTAGTTACTATATAGGATATTTATGAAGTAAAATTCATAACTTTATTATATATTCCATTTTTTTATTCAT